GATAAACCTTTTGACAGTGTGAAACAGCTCATTCACGACTATGCACATGCTCGCTATGTGCGTGTGACGTACACAAGACTGCTACGCAAGCGCTCATACTATGACGGAACAGATACCTTCACAGTGCAGGTCAATATGGCGTGTGACGACTACACTGGTGATATGAACGATAACTTCTGGCCAGCTGACATCACATGTCGTGACTATGTACCACGACATAGGAAACGGGACAATTATGGGCAATATAGTGATAATGGATATTCATATCAAAATGAGTAAGTTTCTCCTTGTTTCCCTATATATCATGGCTCTAAGTTTAATATCATGGAATATTCGCGGCTTAACACATGATTGTCAAGGTATTGTCAATAATATTCCAGATGATGTTGATATTGTTGCTGTGCAAGAACATTGGCTCAATCCAGATAATGTCCACAGTCTCAATGATATTAATGGTTTTTCACTCATTTCATCTATTTGTAACAAAACAACTTCTTCTCGAGGTGCTGGCGGTGTTGCCATACTGCATAACAATAAGTCCACCTGGAAGCTCCGCAGAATTGCAACCAAGACAGAATTTTTTGTTGCTGCAGTTGTATATGCACATGGATACCCTGATATGTATGTAATGTCTTCCCTACAACCTTCTACTAATGTTCTGCACTCTGTGTATGTAGATGCAGTTGAACAACTCTTTGATATGTATGATATCCTTAGTCAAAAGGGTGATACTTCTATACTGGGTGACCTCAATGCAGTTATCTGTAAAAACATATTATCCCCACGTGATAGTGTGCTTTATAACTATATCACAGAACGGCATCTTATACATGCTGTTAGTACATTACGCAACAACGGGCCTGGCCATACATTTAGAAGTAAGGACGGCAGATTTAAATCGCTCATTGAATACATACTCCTCCCGTCACACCTGACCAATCAGCTTGCCTATTGTTGTGTAATGGATGATTGTAGCTACGCTGTATCTGACCATTACCCATGTCTTACTACTGTATCTAGACAACAGGAACATGTACGCAAATCTGATAGCCTCTATTTTCCAAAATGGCATAAAGCTGACCAATGTGACATTACCGTATACAGCGAAGAGAGTTTCCGACTTCTCTCTACCTCCCCATGAAATTGAATCATACACATGTAAAGATATAAATGATTTACAATCCGCCAGTTCCCGGTGTATTCCTTCGGGTGTTTTTAAAGCACATTTAAAGCCATACTGGAAATCAAACGGACTAAACGATTTGCATTACAATATGCGCGTAGCTAGACGCGAGTGGTTGGTTGATAGTAAACCAAGGACAGGTAACTCGCCTTTGTATATTAATTACAATCAGCTAAGCGGGAATTTAGACGATTACATAGTAAGTCTAAACGGAAACAGCAGTCAGACTTAAGTAGCGAATTAGAAAGGTGCTTCGACGCTGATATGGGTACTTTCTTTAAATCAGTTCGCAAAATGAGGCGACAGAGTCCAGTTGTTAAAGAGCTAGTATTTGGTCATAAATGTGCAAACACAGCAGAAGATATTTGTGAACTATGGGGTGATTACTTTGCAGATCTCGCCAAACCTCATTACTCTCCATTATTTGATAGCAACTTTCTAATAACAGTTAACAGGAAGGTTAGAAATATAAGCCAGAAACAATCCTCATGCAAAGAAGATATTTTATATAAATATATTGAAAGTGATGAAGTGAAGGAACATATCAGTAATCTCCACAAAAATAAATCTCCTGGCCCGGACTGTATTCAAAATGAACATCTTATTTATGGTGGTGATGACATCGTAAATACATTAACGGCACTTTTTAACTCTATTTTAGGATCTGCATATGTCCCTAGCACTTTCAGAAGAGGTGTAATTATCCCAATATATAAAGGTAAAAAGGCGAAAAATGACCCAAAAGATTTTAGAAAAATAACTCTAACTTCTTATATAGGTAAACCTTTTGAAAAAGTCTTATTGGCTAGACTAGAAATCTGGGTGCAAGAATACATACCCTCATTTCCAGACAAGCTCCAATTTAGGTTTAGAAAGGAACATGGAGTAACCACTTCAGTCCTTACTCTAAACGAAAGTTTATCATAATATCTAAGCAGAGGTTCTCCAGTTTATACAGCCTTTATGGACAATGAGAAGGCGTTTGATCGCATATGGCATAATGGACTCTTTTTAAAGCTATATCAAATGGGAATAAAGGGCAAAATGTGGCAGCTCCTATATCAAATTTATACATCAAGCTCTGCTTTTGTGCAATATTGTGGTCTGAGATCAAATGAATATGTTATCAAGCAATGCGTTGGGCAAGGTAGAGTCTTGTATTCCTGGTTTTTCCTTGTTTTTATTAATGATTTGATATGTGAACTTAGAGATTTGGCATTTGTGTAAGTGGCATTAATATCCCATGTATTCTATTGGCTGACGACACAACCCTTGCTTCCACTTTTCCAAAAGGTCTTCAATCATCACTTGATACTGTTTATAGCTATGCTTGTAAGTGGCGTCTAACGTATAACGGTTCTAAAAGCACTTGTGTCATTTTCTGCAAATATAAGAAACGTCTGGGTAATTATTCTTTCAAATTTGGTGATTCAGACATACCAAGAAGTGATTGTGTTAAGTATGGAGGCATTTTACTTTCGTCTGATCTATCTCCAAAATCTAGAGTATATTCATACTGCCAGAAAGCACGGCAATCTGTAAATTCTCTAAAAAGTCTTGGTTTAAATGGTAAAGATCTCCACCCTACTTCCTCTGTTAAAATATGGAAAAGAATGATACTTCCAACGAGCTTTTACGGTTGTGAACTTTTACCCATTTTTCGAGGTAAAGATTATGACTTGGTAGAAAGTACACAGAGATATTTTGCCAGATGCATTCAGGGTTTCGGTAAGCGCTTTTCCTCTGCTTCAGTGCTAAGTAACCTTGGATTGTGGAGCATGGATGGTTATATAGATAAATGTAGACTATTATTTCTCGGCAAGCTGTGCAACAGCAAGTGTAACTCTTCTTTTAAGGATATTTTCTGTGTACATTTAGCCACCTTTCAAAACAGAACAGCTGTCTTACACAGTATATGTGACACACTTATTCAAACCAGTTTAAAATACAGTCTCCTCAATTATCTTAGTGACCATCTCGATTTTGGAAGGTTTAGATGTAAATCGTCACGGCGAAGAATAACTATTAATTGCATAAATAAATCTGAAACTGAACGATGGGTTTCTCAAGTGTGTGTAAGGCACGATATGAATAGATATCGCTTGACCTACAACTTCTTTGGTGTACATAGATTGTATTGTTTGATGTATTTTTACCGACAGTTTAAAGATATATTACAGTTTTGTGTACAAATCAGCTCAAGGGGAAAATTCTCAAAACATTGTGAACTCTGCAAAAGATATTGTAATGATTATGACTGCCATGTAATTCTACACTGTGAACACTTAACTATATGTACAACAGAAATAATTTCTTTTCAAAACTTATAGATCTCTTTGATGTGGATGTTTATGTACAAATAGAATTATTATCTGAAGATGAAATGTTATCACTATTTTCTGGGGGTGAACCACTAGTTACTAACGATATTGATGAAATGTCATGGATATGTATGATTGTCCTCTTCTGTAAATACCTATATTCCTTGCTTCCCTCACTAAACTGTGCATTCTAGACCTTTCATTTTTCTTTTTACATATGTGTGACTATATGAATGTGTTGTGAATATATTGCTATGATTATGTTGCTGTAAATATTTCATGTACATGTTCATAATGATCTTCGGAATATAATCTGGAGGAAATAAAGAGATTCATTCATTCATTCATTCACCAAGAGAACATGGCATATCAAATTCAGTTGATAAACTGACTCATGTAACGAGGTCACATGTCAGGCGTACACTGCTGTGTTGCCAAGTTAGTAATGCATTAGGACAGATATATTCTTGGAGTTCAGGGACTGTTGTTTATGAAGAGCACACAATGTGACGTTGAGGACCAACAGACGGACTTGTGTTGTCAAATCGACTAGTGTCCATAGAGCATCGACAATTCACCACATATGCCATCGGCGGATAATTGGTTACAAGGGGGATACGTGCAGTTTTGACAGTTACAAAGGGTTAGCATCCCTGGACAAGTTATTCTATTAACTACGAAGCAACAACGAGACAAGCTCTCATCAGAGATAAGATGTCTCTCTTCGTTGCAAGGTATCTTTTCCTTATCGACCTTCATTATGAGCAACGCGAGGTGGAATTGACAACAGACGTGAGCAAATGATGCATTAACATACCACTTAATCTCTTTCAACTCTGTACATCTCATCTAAACACATCACTTAATCGCTGTACATTTCAATCTGTAATACTATCTTCCTGGCTTCCTTTGGATACTATATATTGCTTGTATCATATTCTGTCATTCACACCATGAAGGGGCAAGAAGTAGCCCAGAAACGTTGTGTTGTAAATATTTCAGAAGTTGTAAATCCATACCATACGTTGTTGTGTGAGTAAATGATGCTTATAGAACAGAAATAATACTAGCTACAATATTTTTTTCAAACACTTAAGGGTTTTTAGCTATAACTCTCACAAAATGTGACGTCCTCTGCGTTGACAAGAAATCCTTATTTTGGTCTGCCACTCATTATGTATGAGCACTGTCATATGACTACCTATACTGAGTCAAAAAAGAAACTTCACATTCTCTCTTCAGGGCACTATAAAAGAACAAGAGATGGTAAGATGGTTAAAATTGTTATTATTTCATTGCTGAGATCTGTGTGATGTACTCGATACACTGACAGTGCCATAATCAGTTCCATTAGGCTACACCGCCGTTCCAAAACATAGGTATACAGAATGTCAAGTCATAAGAATAAAAATGCGAAATTTCTCAGTTTAATATCGTGTATGGCCGCCCCGTGCATTCACCACTGCCAAACACCGTCTCCTCATCGACTGCCTGATGCTTGTGAACACGTGGTTGGGGATTCTGCGCCATTGCTCTTGGAAGGCAGCGCCAAGTTCCTGCAAATTCTGAGGTTGGTTCCTAAAACCACGAAGCCTTCTCCCAAGTGCATCCCAAACGTGCTCTATTGGATTAAGGTCAGGGGACCTCGATGGCCAGTCCATGACGTTGATTCCAGCGTTTTGAAGGAAATTTGGTGTCAACATCGCGGTATGCGGCCGAGCATTATCATGCTGGGAACTGTAGACCTGGACCATGTGCCGCCATGAAAGGAACGAGTTCAGGGGTGAGAACCTGGTCGCGGTTAGCAGCAGCTGTGAGGTTTCCACGGATGACCAGAAGACGGGAACGGTTGTTCCCACAGAAAGCACCCCACGCCATGCAACTTCCGCCCCCGAATCTGTCGACTTCCTGTACACAACATTGGGCAAACCGTACACAACGTCGTCTCAAGACTCTGTGCCTGCCGTCCGCGAATCTGAGGGTAAACCTGGATTCATCGCTAAAGACGACTCGATTCCAGTCTCTCTGGGTCCAACGGGTGCCGTTGGGGCCACAGCAGACGTTGACGTTGATGAAACGGCGTCAATATTGGCCCACGATATGGACGTCGAGAATGGAGTTTGGCAGCCCGCAACCGATTTCGAATGGTTGCACATTTGACAATCGTGGCATTTCAAGTACCGTTAGAACTGTGGTTTTAAAGTGTTTTTTCAATTCTTGAGGCCAATGCAAACACATGCATATGAAGAAAACTTCGATGCGAAGATCACATGATCGACTGCACGTGCAAAACCTGATTTGGCACTAACGTCATTTGCACGACGAATGGATGGGTTTGAGTGGGTTTTGCTAACGTTTTTTCTAGAGTCGAAAGATAGGGATCCCATTTCGGATACATAGATTTATCATCAGAGAAAAATCATTCATTATTTTTTCAAATTACATTTTGTGAAGTTTCTTGTTTTACTCAGTATATATGAAGGTATACTGTCTGACCAATATCATTGTCAGAGTGATTTGTTTAAGTGACGCATATTTTTGCATTTGTCAGTTTAATCAATCAATGTGTCACCTACACTGGAAGAAACAAAGTATCAGTGCAGACCAAAAACTATTAAAACTGACATAACATCTGGAATTTACACACCAGGGCTGATGTAAGTAAGATGACAGAACTGTACTATAACGTTGAGATGAATGTCCATGTATGCCTTCCTACGGGGATGTCATGGTTACCCACTGAACCATGATGGCGGTAAAACACAACGTGATGTTGACCTGTTTCACGAAATCTGACAAACAGTATAAGGCTGGTGCAATTTATCAATGGATGCGTATGTATGAGTGTTTACATATAATCCTAATTTTGGCACCGAATTTGCAGTGTAGGTCAATCGTTCACGCTTCTCTTCAATGACCAGTCACTCAGACACAAACATTGGTGAATCATTTGCAATTATCGCCATTAATGGGGAATATGTCATCTTTATTGACGCGTTACCATCCGCCATAAAATAGAAACAATATATAGGACCCACGTTTCCTCCGTCCATCACTAGTACTTCATTTCTAGACATGGTTAGACATGACAAAGACATTTGATATAAAATGCCATATACTGGAGATGAGAGTACCGTATTTGCGATGCGAGTACCGATTTCTAAACCAAAGCCTGTCTCTAACAGCTTCACGTTGCCCTTTTTAGGGCTTATCTTGTTTACAGGCTGTCGTAATCGTTGATGAGTTCAGTGTTGAAAAGAACGCATTTGCCAGAAGTAATAAGAATCAGTCAAATACGTTACATGGCAGTGCTGCCTAACCAACGCTTCCACCAGTTCAGAAGTACATACACTGACGTTTTTAACTATCATGTTGGACATGTCGAACTGATGTAAGATGCCTTTATCGTCTCTGTGTCATAAAGTGTAAGACTCAATAACATGATTGAGTGAGTTTTACGCCGCTTTCAGCAATATTCCATCAATAACACCAGAAATGTGCTTCACACATTGTACCCATGTGTGGAATCGAACCAGGGTCTTCAGCGTGACGAGCGAACTCTTTAACAACTAGTCTACCCCAACGCCCCATGACTCAATAACCGCATCAATGCGACAAAGATGTCTTCTATGGTCCACGGCCTGTTGATCTGCTGAGAAGTAAGATATGTTGTGTTGCACATAGTGGAACGGAGTTTTGTTATTAAGAATCAGTAAATGTACAACATCAACTGATCATGCATTCTTTCAATAACCTATAAGGAATATAAGGTTAAATATTCATCTTCTAAACAAGTAAAGTATAACTAACCATTATTGAGAATTGCGGTTATTATGTGATATAGTGGATGCTATCACTGCTTAGTAATTAATAAAGGGATATAAAACACAATAACTGTGAGTAATAGACTTTTAAAAATTAGCTATATATGAATCACCCATGGGTATAGACTGTAGTTAACAGTAATTCTCCGATCACGAGATACGACTTGAGACCAATCAGAACTATATCATCGGGACATGTGACAAGGGTGGAGCGGACTCGAACACTTTAAAAAGACATCGTCAGAACTAGCAAAGTGGTGCGGGTTTCAAAGACAGCAGAACGTTCACATCGTGATCGTTGCAGTTCCACGTTTGGTCAAAAGCTTGCCCTGTCCTGTCCAGTCCGAGTCACCTTGTAATGAAGAGTGAGTAAGTGAGTTTGGTTTTACGCCGGGGCGGGGGACACAAGAAATGGGCCCTCCACACATTGTACCCACGTGGGGAATCGAACCCGGGTCTTCGGCATGACGAGCGAACGCTTTAACCACTAGCCTACCCTACCACCCCTTGTAATGAAGTGGGTGAGTTTAGTATTACGCTGCACCCAGCAATGCTCCAGCTATATGGCGGTTGTAATGAAGAGACGGAATGAGTAAACCCATGTGAGAGTAGAACGTGGGGTTGATTTCATTATTTGTATGAATGTGCGCCAGTACATGAATGCAATGTGGTTAGTTAGGAGTCATGGCCGTCCAACTCTTCACTCCTTGACTAAGCATCACTCGACGGACGACATGAGTGTAAAGCTTGAGCTTAATTCTCAACAGAATAATTTAGAGTGAGTTAATATTTAACGTCACATCGGCAATATTTCAGCCATATCGTGAATAATTTAGAACGGCCATATTAATAGGTCACTGTTGTAGGGTCTAATGACATCCAATCGGCAGTTACGATATAGCTTTTCATGTCATCACATTAAATATGTAAAATAGTGACACTTAATGCATCAGAAAAATGTGAAGTTTTGGATTGCCATTGAAACTTCCATGTATGGTTGTTAGACCAACGCAGCATTTGGACCTCAACAGCTATGACTGGACGACGTGCGCTATCGGATGGAAACAACGATGCACAGGTTTACGATTCTGCAAACTTTTGAAGATGAATTGTGCGTTACGCATGGTTCCATATGTTGTGCACTAGCTTGCAGCACCAGCTTTAATAAAACTAATCCAACGAGGAGGGTTGTTATGAAGCAGTGGTATACGTTGCACGACAGTGTTTTAACTGGTTTACATTTTACCTGTAGCTTCAGCAGTGAGGGGAGGCGGTGTACCTACCTGACAGGTTTCCCCATTGACGCTGTGAACAGCATAGACATTTATCGATTTTTTTCTAAGGTATACTATTGGAAAAAAGTAACTGTGCACAGCATAAGATCAACACTATTTGAAAAATTAGAAAAGAAACCCTAAGTAAACATGTAGCAACGAACTTTGCTTGACATTTGAGATTGCGTATCGTACGTGAACTTACTTACTTTTTGCGTGCTTTTCGACACCTGAAGTACACACTCATGATACATCCCATAGTCGGATACAACTTGTCATTTTCAATGGCAATAGAACAGGGATAAGATCATTTCATTTAAGGACAGAGACGTAACTTTGTGTGTGTGCGTGCGTGCGTGCGTGCGTGCGCGTGCGCGTGTGTGTGAGAGAGTAACGAATTATTGCCTCACATTGCATCTCAAGCCACAAGAATACAGGCATTATATGTGATACTCATGACCTGGACACTCTCTGCCTAGACATTTCTTTCAAGTTGGATTACTGTTAATGAGAAGTGAATGTTACCACAATTGTTCTTATTGCTATTGTCAATGCTCTTGAATCTGTATTGCCACAATCACTGGCAATGTCTTAGTGATACCTTTGTATTGAAGAGTGAAATTAGTTAAATCTAGAATACAATTGATAATTGCATCACATTTCATAGTTGGTTACACACGTCCTAGTTCTTTTACGGAACGATAACTGGTTAACGTTTTAGTTTCAGATTGGGAATCAACAAATCACAGGGTCAATTGCATAAATCGATGTCTATATACTTACGGTGAAATAACAGTTGTGGGTTAATGAGTCAGTATTGCACTGGACACGTGTACCATTTCTTTGCTTTCTCTCGTTCCAGGAGTTTTATGTGTACCACTGTACCTCAATAATTGTTATGTCTAATATATTAAAGTATTTTGTTCTCAATTCAATAAGATGTATATTTTTTTTCAGATTGTGAAGATTGTCTGGTAATGAAACGAATTATACACGTCCTTGAATGGAAACATACACTAAGAAATCACTTGACTCTTATTGTAATTTAAAGGTACCAAATCACTATGATCAGTCTTGATTAATATAGCCGATCACTGCAGTGCCACATTTTATCGAAGGGATTTTTTCTCAGTTTAGTCGTGCTTTTGAATAATTATGATCATAGACAACGAAATGCAGAAGTGCGTGTGTATCAAATTTGGGGTCCTTATAATTAAAAGGTACATTACAAAACAATGGTGTATTATCATTATTTGTTTTGAACAGTCGTGGATGGGGTATAGTGCAAGAAGGTCATGTACCTTAACCGTATTTTAATAGTATAAAATTAAAAGCTGATAAATAGGTTCATTAAAGTGTCCTGGTATTTTATTGTGGCCAGTTTCTGTTGATCTAAATATCAAGCGGATAACGGAACTCATTAAAAGCTACCACGGCACACTTCAGAAAAATTTCCATATCTATCTTACGCTGTAGAAATGCTAATTCAATTTAGCATATTGAAATGTAATCAAGCTGCATGTCTTAATATATGCAAGCTGGGAAAGATGAACAGTCTTTTAAACCAAATGACCAAATGATATAGGAGAAAAATCCATTACCATTCAGCTTATAAGACAAGTCGATTTCATAAACATTTACTACTTACTACTTGAAAATCTTACAAAGTGTGTGACTCACTCTCTATCGGGATCGACTGACTATCGGTGAAATGGTAGTGAATGACGACCAACTTCCGGTTAGGCATAGACAGGGCTTAACCCCTGTGTTATATATCGTTTATAATTATTAAACAAAATGTATACTGTTAAACTAAATATCATCGAACGGAAAACGGAGCTCATTTAGACCTACCACGGCACACTTGAGAAAAAAACTTATATAGCTACCTTACACTGCATGTATAAATGCTAATTCATTTTAGTATGTTGAAATGTACCAACTTGCTTCTCTTAATATATGCAGGCTGCGAATATGCACAGTCTTTGAAACGTACATAAAATGCCTTTCCAATCCTGAAGAATCAATTAATTAATGCTTTGATCAAGCAAAACGGTATAAACATTACGTTTGTTGGTTTTCTCAGTTCAAAGTGATCATGTATGATATGGATTGTTTGGCATTTCGTTATGGTGGTCCTTCCCCAGTTCTTGACTTTCCCGATATGATTACATTCTTTTGCAAAATTTTAGGCTGACATGCCATACAGGCCACTGATATACGACGGAAATGGTCTCATATCACATCTCAAATAATTCAGAGATTATATAAACATACTATGCAATTTTGTCAGAATACATTTTACTGACAGCATGGGGCGGCGGGGTAGCCTAGTGCTGAATGCATTCGCCTTTCACGTCAATGGCCTGTGTTCGATTTTCCACTGCTGCTGTTTAAAACATCCTGTTTTCTTATATAGCATTCCATTTATTGAAAATCAAAAGCCAAATCTGACTGACAAAACTTCATTCCTTCACACCTACAAGATTAGTTTTAACCAGATATGTCCATCTTCTCAGATACATTGGTACATGTATTCAGCTGTGATGTGTGTATGTAAACTGTAGTATTACGTACACCAGTATGTGGCTGGTACAATACTACATCAAAGTACCTTATTATAGTGTGGAATCGTGTAGACATCTGTTTTACTTCAGTTTTCTGTGGACCCGTGAAGGTCCGGGTTAGAATGAGGCTTCAGTAACCCATTAGAGGCGACAAACGGGATCGGGTGGTCAGGCTCGCTGACTTGGTTGACACATGTCATCAGTTCCAAATTGCGCAGATCGATGATCATGGTGTTGATCACTGGATTGTCCGGTCCAGATTCGATTATTTACAGACCGCTGCCATATAGCTTGAATATTGCTGAGTGTGGCGTAAAACTAAACTCACCCACTCACCAGTTTGGTGTGGTGTAGTATGGCAGTTGACCCTAACATTACCCATGTCTTTTACTGTAACAGTAAGTAACAATGAA